ATCTATATACAGTAGATCTATATACAGTGGATCTATATACAGTGGATCTATATACAGTGGATCTATATACAGTGGATCTATATTCAGTGGATCTATATAGATCTATGTAAGGTGATTGTTAGAACGACTCCGTGTGCAGAATAAACTTTGAACTGACTTCATGACAAAATAAAATCTGCGGTGACACGTTGACATATTGACTTTGTAGACGTCAGTGAAGCTCGATGACTCGATGCTCAGCTCCTGTCGAAGAAATCAGAAACCTGACAAATGAACCGTTGATCTGGTTTCACATGTTGGATAAGAAAAGCTGAACGTCTTTTTGAAAGCGGTGAATGATTCTTCTGTTCTTCACCAGGTGGAGTTGAATCCAAACGATTAGAGCTCAACATCATCCTGGATTTTCCTTCTTCTCGTCCGTTCTCCACCTCGAAACCCCCCCACCCTGCCGGCCGGGGCGTCCAGTAGGAGGAAACGAGTGAAGTTAAAAAAAGATTAACTTCACATTTGTCTCTGCGACTCAGGGTTGGACGGCCGGGATCGAACATGTGGACAAATACTGACACTTAAATATCACCGAGGAAAAGTCTGACGGAAAACCTTTCACTCAGACCAGATTCATCAGATGATCAAGGAAACAAAGAACAAGATAAAGTCGAGCGGCAGCGAGAAAAAGACGAGTTGGTTAATTGGTTAATTGATTAAAATAAATATGCAAATCATTTGAAAAATTGATCAAATTTTCTGAGGAAAAAAAAAAAGTTCTGTCTTCTTCAACACAGCTGATGTATGGGGGGGGGGGACACCACAGTGTGATTGACAGCTGGTACCGTCCAATGGGTGCAGGTGATAGGTGTAGGTGGGCGTATCCTGGAGCTCTCAGTCAGGCTCCACCCACCGCTCCTCCAAATATGGTTACTTCTGGTTTTAAAAAACCAAGATGGCGCCTGACAGCCTGTGAAACGGAGGCTTCAGAACAGGAACTCAAACCACCGGCTGATGTCACGAGGGGACACCAACACAAAGATCACGTGTCATCACTAATGAAGGATTCATTCATTTAAATAAAAAACAAAACCTTCTCACGACTCAGGATTTGTTGTTTACGTCCAGCGTCGACTTTAAACTCATGATGTTCGATAATTAGTCTTAATTAGTCTTAATTAATCTTAATTAGTGTTTAGTTAGAGCGGTGGAACATGTTCTCCATCCTGTTCTTCAAGAGCAGAAATGTTCAGTTACAGAATCATCAGCTCTGTTCTAAACACAGATCAGCCATAATCAGGCCGCTCTATAAGCAAAGAGTGCAAAGAACAGATCGCACAGGAGGAGGAGAGAACAAGCTCCTTCCCGCTCTCGCTCTCCTCGACGACCCTCCGGCTCACTGACCTGGAAAAACTGCAGCGTGGGACGATGAGCTCGAATCCTCAAACCAGCCACAGAGCAAATGTTCTTTTCAACCTTTCAACTCTGTCATGCAGAGCAGCCACGTCTCCCTTTGTTTGTCTTTCCTCTGTCTCATAGAGACACACAGACCGGGGGGGGGGATTCGTCGTGATTTGTGGGGTCATCACATCGACTGTGTGGGTGGAGCCAGACGTCAGAGGCAACTTTAATATTTCAATTTTAAGAGTGAGGTCATCATTTGCGTCTCTCCTGTTGAAGTGAGGAATGTGCAGCGTCATCTTATATTTTTATATTGAAGTGAAAGTTTCACAAATAAAATATTTGAAAGAACCAAACAGAAGAAACTGTCTCGTTCACTTTGTTCAAGATTTTACATCCAGAGGAAAAAGAAACTTCTAGAGGGAACCAGTTCCACTTGATGGTCATTTATTATTTTCTTTCTTCCGTGGTGCTGCACCTCTCGTCTTATTTTGAATCTTCAGTTGGCTGCATCAAATCCTGAAATGCAAAATTAAAAATACATCTCGGACCCGTCTCTGAGGTTTCTACGTGTTTTTCAGACTCAGGGCCGATGATCGAACCTCGTTGAGGTTCAAGAGGCACATAAAATAAAAATACAAATAAAAAGTGAGAAGCTTAGTTAGTTTTGGAATCTGAGAGTTTTGAATGTTTAAATTCACAGTGGAGACGAGTGGGTGGAGCCAGTGGTGCAGGAATGTTTCCTCGCTGGTTTCCAGATGTGATTGTGTAACGGCAGGACATGAAGTGCTGCTCGCTCTGTTTACTCTGCTGCCGGACACTTCTGTACAAAACACAGACGCCTTCCTCCGCTCGTCCTTATGAGGTCATTTCAACCAACAGCTAAGACACAACACCCGGAAACTTCCAAATGCAGAAGTGGTGTCATGAGCTAAATACGGAATCAAACCGAATTCACCCGCAAAGAGAGAACATGACTCAGAGGTTTAGGCTGCGAGAGTCTACTTTATTTTTGCGTTTGCAACCACAGGGTGAAAAATGTTGAACAGAGCGTGTGGAAGTGTTGGCCACAGAGTTTCTATGCACCGCAGGATTACAAACACAGAACAGTACAAATGTTAGAAAACAAGCTTATTAGTTCCGTCATCGTCGTCTTATTTCTCTTTTTTTGATATTTTTCTTTCTTTTCTTGTTTTTAAGTTGTCAATAAAAAACACATGGAAACAACAAAGGCAGCCTGTACTACAGCGAGTAATAATTACAATAAAAAACTAAAAGGTTGTAAACGGGACATTCTCCCGTCACCTAGCGTTGGTCGTTGGTTTGATTCCCCTCCCCCGAGGTGTGGCGTGGGTCGGAGTGAGGCGGCGGGATCAGGAGGAGGTGGGGCTTCCTGCATCGCTGCTCTCACTCACCTGGCGTTGCATCACCATCTCCCTGGCAACGCAGGTGATCTGACCATTTGTTACCGCACCCGGAACCCCCGCCCTGCGAACCACAGAGAGACACACGTGACCCTTTAGGCACACACACGATATTCAGAGTCACCTCGAGGTTCACATGAGGGGAAAGAGAAAATCAGGAAGTTTGAATTCTCTTGATTCAGCTTTATTTAATGCAACGTTCAGATCTGGACTCGTGAGTGTGAAACCTGGGACGTTATATAAGAGCATTAAACGAGACTTACTTCAGCTGTGCCTCCTCAGTCAGAGGGGTCATCCCAGGCTGCTTCCCAAAGAAGAAACTGGACCACCAGTGTCCAGAGTCCTGCTTGGGGAGTCCTGCGGAGACACATGATGAGGACACAACGTTTGTACCTCAGGCTTTTCATTCAGATTTCTATCAGAGCAGCTTTTTAAAATGTTGGTGAATGTTTCCAGCTCAGCAGCGAGAGGAGCCCCCGCCCTCATCTGGGTCACACTGTTTACTTTTTACATTTTATCAAATGATTCCGGATGTGAAACTAGATTTCTGAAGAAATCAGAACATTTGAACTGTTCTTGTGTTTATATGTTTTATTTATATCTTTGTGTTCATGTGTAATAACTGATGAACTCCGCAGCTCGAAAGAATTCACGTGAGCTGACTGAGTCTGCACACGCCCACATTTCCCCTTTCACCTACTTTCATGTACAGCACTGACAAAGAGACTGTGTGTGTGTGTGTGTGTGTGTGTGTGTGTGTGTGTGTGTGTAGTTAGCAGCCATTAGAAAGCTGACCCTGTGGTTTTAAAACAGACGAGCAAACACAATCTTTAACCATCGCAGATGGTTTTCACATGCGGCTGCACTGAGCCGTCAGAGTCAGCAGCTCTGAACGGAGGAGGCTCACGTCAGCATCAGGAGCTGTGATGATATTATTCTTACTGGAGAGGAAAAGGATTCTCGATGTTTTCCACAATCACTCAGCCACGGGAACAATGTGTGTCCTCGGGCAACAGCTGACTCAACCTGCGGTGACTCAAGCTGAAGCTCGTCCGGAATATTACAAAATGAGTAACGGTGATGCAATTCAAATGTTTGATCAAAAACAGGAAAGAAGTCGCGTGGAGACACTGACGCACAGAAACATACGGAACCTGTGGTTGTTGTCCCCGAGTTTAATCTGTTCTTATTTAGAGCGACTTTATTCACTGACCTGAAAACTACAAGCGCTTTAATCCTCCAGCTTTATTTCATTTGGAGCAGAGAGTGAGTGTTTGTACTCTGAACAAAGAGCTCGTACCTGGGTGATGAGGGATGACCTCTCCGCTGTACTCCGAACTGCCGCAAGAGCTGCTGCTGGACGTAGAGCCGATGCGCCCTGCAGGAGGAGGAGGAGGAGGAGGAGGAGGAGGAGGAGGAGAAAGAGTTGATGTATTCAGACATGAACTTCAGTTCTGAATTTATGTAGAACTTTTCTAGTCTTGACGACCGAGGACAGTTTGGCATTAGGGGCTCGAACTGAGACTGAACCGCTCTAACCCCTGAGCCACAGCCACAGGAACTTAAGTCCACACGGGACATTTGCTGCAGTTGTTTTCTGCAGGTCAGATGAAAGAGGTGGAGAAGCCTCGGTTTTCTTTACTTGAACTCACGACTCATTTTGTTTGAATCTCATTTGAGTCAGAAGCTGCAGCAACATGGACACAAAACTAAAATCAATTCTCCTCTGGTTACGGACCCACAGCCTGAGGGCCACTGCCAAGCTGCAGCTCTTGATCTGCTCGGACAGGTCCTGCTCTGTGGAGCCCAAACAAAAACACATGCTGTAGATGCAGGACACCCCTCCCCCCCTTCTTACACAGGCTCTAAACATAACTAACATGATGTTAGAGTCCAGTGTGAACACACAAGAGACAGGAAGGGAGTTGTCTTGAGTGAATGGACTCTGGTTTCCTCCCTCAAGCTCTATATCTCTAT